GGGGGGGGGGGGCACGATTGCCACTGTTTTTATAGCTGATAAAAAAAATGGCACCATTCATACCGCCACTTGGCGCGAGTTTAATATAGCCGAAAGGCCTGCAATAATCGACAACAGCCCATCAGATTTATTTTCGGACGGTGACTCAATTTTGGGCCACTTGATGAATATTATTTATACGCGGAATCGGTCTCCCGTTCCTTTTTTTTCTCTCAAAACTCAAATTAAACTCGCTTGGCGAGTCGGTTGAGGGGGAAAAAAAAAGAGTAAAATAAAAATAAAAGCCAAGCCAAGCTTGTGTTTCGTTGACAAAACGGGCATGCACATATAGACGTTGTACCAGCCATGAATGAAAGAATCAATAAGGGAGACATATGTATATATAAGATCGTCGTCATCGTTGTCTGCAACGATGTATGGTATATACGTGTGTATACGTATTATTTTCTCTTTGCATGGGAGAAAGACGAGATGGTATCGTAGGGAGCGTCGCGTCAAGATTTGCGAGACGCGTGAATGAACGCGGGAACGTGGCTTGCTCTCTGCTCGTCCGAATACATGGCAAAGTGGACATTCTGCTCTGCACACATGTATTATAGGTACGTATAAATTGCCATATGTGTGTTGGCGAGGAGAGAAAGACCGGCTCGCTGGTAATTGATGTAATTGTTGCCGAGTGATTCACACATCAGCGGATCCGTGTGCGTTTGTGTGTATACGTTTCTTCGCAAATGTACACATAATTATCACAGGGATGGGAATCGGAGGCTCCGATCACTCCGACCTCGTGTATAGCGTTGGCTTGTGCGACTTTTCATTTTTTGCGAGCAAAAAGGCACACCGTGTGTCTGGGAGAAAAATAACGTGTACGTCATCATCTATACAACACCAAAGGCAATAGTAATAGTATATATACCTACATGGCTTTCTTCTTTCAGTCCTCGTTTGTCCGCTTGTTTCACACTTGGAGCCGATAGTCGGTCAATGAGCGCTAACTTTTTTCAATTGATTCAACGAAAAGGGACAATGATGTTTTTATATAGAATCCAAGCCTTACGTGTGCCGTTTGATAAATAAACTTGCTCGATACGAAATCCAAGTGATTTATTCAACATCATTGTCGTGCATCATTTTTTACGTGGACGGTAAACAACAACAACTCAAAACGATTCAATATCAAAAACAAAGTGAAAAAATTTTATCGGTGCGAGGAAGCCAATCGTGCCAATCAATTTTTTTTTTTTTTTTTTTTTTTTTTCAGTAAACAAGGAGGAACAACGTCGAACAAATGGGTACTATAAAAAAGCTGTATTGTTTTGCTCGCTCTCGAACCAATAGCGCACGAAAAAAGTGTACAGGTGTACCTATATATATATAATGTGTTTGTGCCGAAGCAGCAGTATACCTATATAGTTTCGACTGCGAGAAAACTCGAAGGATCCTTAAACGTCATCCCTTTGTAATTTTAAAAATAAGATATGGTACTCACGTCCAGGGGTGGTGAGACCAACGGCGCATTGCTGGGACTCGGCGCTGGACCCAAACGCCAAACACGCGAGCGCGACTGCAATCAATTGCAAAAATCGACTGGCGTCCATATTCATCCTAACTGAGAAGTCGAACGCGTGGCGGTGATGCATCGCTGCTGCTGTACCTTTTGTACGACAACTGCCGGCTGTGGTATTCCCATCACTGAAATCAGAAGAAAAGTGAATAGATTTAGTCTTTTTTTTTTTTTACATTAGATTAGTAATAAGTTGCGCAGGAGGTAGTTTTTATCCAAACGAGATGGAGGTAGGAATTTATAAATTAATATCATCTCGGTGCACATCAGTTTTTTTTTTTTTGTTCAATCGAAAGAAAAAAAAAAAAAAAACACAACAGTTACGTTGCACATTATTTCATGTATCGCGCATACAAAGGTGTCGTTTTTTTTATTTTATTTTATTTTTTTGTCTCTTTGCTACACACATGTGGTAATAACAAAACACGACGAATACCACCAGACCCCCGCGTATACATCGCAAATATCCCGGAATGATACATTTCGCGTTATTTTCAGACCGGCCGTTTCATCATTCCTTTATATTCACACTACGCGCCCCAGAGCTACATACACATGTTATATACCTACTTATTATTAGGTTTGAAAAGACTTTAAATTATGTTAGTTTGTTTTTTGTCTCCCTGGCATAAAAATAACACATTGGACAATATTTGGCCTCCAAAGTTTTTTACCTAACTCGTTGTTGAATTCAGTGAAAAAGTACAACTAAACTGACGGCGACGGCACCAGGTGCACGACTGCCCTCGGGAAGAAAACACCGACTGACTGACACCATGCACGCGCCTCGAGGCTTGTCCCTATAATAGCGCAGCCGACCATACGTATATATATATGTGTGTAGGAAAGCAGCTTATACAGAAGAGGAGCTTTTCGTCCGAGAAACCAACAGCATCGGAAGGAGGAGGGGCGAATAAGACGACGACACAACTGCTGCATCGAGAGGAAAACAAGAGACCGATTGTCAGGTGGGCGAAAAATCATTGCCTTCGATGGATAAGGGATCCAATATTGGGATGTACATTACAGGGATATTATTGTATTAATCAGCGAACCTCCTACTTCAATCAAGGAATTTCTATCACTCTCGTCTCCACGAAAACGAAGATAATGGACAGGATGTTATTCACCACAAGTACGAGTTTTAATCGTCCCGGACAATGAGTACAAGAGCTTTATATTTCCCGAACTTGCAATGCATTTCGGCTAACTCGGTATACTTGCTCAATTATTTATCGGCTCTTCTTTTTCTACACCGGGATTATATATTAGATAATATATATTCGTACTCGAGCGAAGGCCTTTGTACGATGTGCTGTGAGATCAGCTCTTATTTTTATTATGTGTGGGGGGGGGGAAATATCCCGAAACGATTTAGATTTGCAAACTCAAAGGGGCTCTTTCAAACTCTTCTTTTTTGTACCGTGATGTTTTTTTTTTTTTTTTTCTACCCACTACTTTGATCGACCGCGATTTTTCTCCCGCGTTATAATTGAGAAACAAGTGTGCATTTCTAGAAATGATTTTCACAATTGGAGCAATTTTGCTTTGAATTTCATTCCGAAAACGAAATTTAATATTGACTCTCCCAGAACTGAGGGATTCCCGGAAAACGCGGGTTTATTTTCATTTTACGTTTCTTTTTCACTCCACCGCCGCATGTACGCACAAACGAAAAGTAATTTGGTTACATTTTTTAGTTTCACAAAGAACCTGGACGCGTACCCGAAAAAAAAAAAAAAATAGAAAATAAACTCTTACGGATCAATTTTCACCCTCCCACGAATCTAATGCATCGAAAATCCACTGCACGCGCTCTCCCCGATTTTTTTTTTTTTTTTTCCAAGGAAGCCCATCAATCGACTTATTTTCCGCAGCAACAGTTGTTGTTGTTCCCCTACTCTGGATGTCAATAAAAAAAAAAAAAAAAAAAAAAAAAAAAAAAAAAAAAAAGTCTCGAGCACCACTTGATCATCCAAATCGTTGACAGTCAACCGGGAGCTTACACCGAATCCAACATAATCAAAGACAAGCTTCATCAACTAATGCACATGTCCCATAAATCACCATCACCAATACAGCAGATGCTTCCATTAAATATATACGTGCATAATAAAACGGGCCTTTGGAGCAACGAGGCGTAAAAATTACTCGCGCTCGAGCAGCTTTCCTAAAATCCATCCCATACACGCGTGAAGGGCACGCGTACAGCAAAGCACGGGCTTTCCTATGAGGCATCGCGCGTATAACTCTCTCGCAAGCTCCACCGAGCGTATACCTATACGCGCGTACACACGGCGGCGAAATTTTGCGAGCGTGGGACATTATTCGAGTTTCGCTTCNTTCTTTTTTTTTTTTCCTCCTCCATAAATATACGCAGCAGCAACACTCGGGCGCTCATTATACTTTACAAGAGAGAGAGAGAGAGTCTCTTTTTTTCCACCAGCACGCGCTGGCATGGATTTCCATAAGACATATTTGCAGCGTTTACTCGTGAGATTAATGGGACTCGCGGGTCTAAAAATACACCCGCGTTTGCTCTGTTGCTTTGCACATATCGAGGTTTTTGCGCGATTTCGTGTCGAAGGATCGCAAGAAGGAAAAAAAAGGGGAGTCTTCGATCGCACGCTGTGAATGAGAAAATTTTCAGTGCTTGGCAAACCGTTTCGAGTACTTGGCGATTTTTCGGAAAGAACTTGTGTTTTTTCAATCCAACAATCTGCTTTACGGTGTTAACAGTGATGCACAAAGAGCTTATACAATAATCCGTAGCTTTGGCCGATCGAAAAAAAAAAACAAAACGTATATTTCTTAGATAATCGTTGCGGGAAACATTTTTTAAAAAAAGGAGCATGTCCCGTGAAAGTGTATATTTTTTCCGCACAGAAAAGAAATTGAGATACATGTATCAATTATCTCTCGTTCGCCTTGTTTTCGTATTAGTATGAGTTAAACGTGTCTTTGTTCCTTGTGTTAAGAAACGCAGTAGTGCATACAAGCACACGTACAGAAATCATAATACACAGTAGGAATGAGAGAGAGAGAGAGAGAGAGAAAATCGCGGGTCATATATATATGTATATATATATATATTGTTGGAGATCAGTAAAACTCGGTCGTGCATACACACAGAAAGATCCTCCATTTCTTTTACAACTCTATGGCGTTGCACGACTCTTCTCTCTCTCTCTCTTTTTTTCCGGGAAAGGCTGACATTCATTGCAAATATTGCTCGAATTAACATCATGCTTATGAGTACCTCTACCGTGTGCTACCTTTCTCTTATTCAAAACAGGCGCACAGGTGAGCATATTATATATATATATGGGCAATAGGTTGTACCTGCGAGCGAGCGCGCATTGTATAATATACACTGCGCAACACAGCTGTAAACTTTTATTATTGGAGCAAATCATTGGGCAAAAGTGCCAATAAATTCATCTCTGCGTTATATGGACCCTACAGGGCTCGGTGGGGGAAAAAAAAAAAAAAAAAAAATGGAGGGAGGGGTCTATAATTGTAAATCTGTGAAATCCTAAAAGGCACATGTTACTTTGCCGCGTGTACCAAGTATCGCGCACTTACTCGGTACGAGGGAGGGGGAGTAGTACAGAAATGGGCCTCGCGGAAATCCAAAAAACGAAAAGGAGACGAGAGAGAGAGAGAAGTCTAAAACCAGCTGGTGTGTGTATAGGTTTACGTGTATGTATTAAAAAAAGAAAGAAAGAAAAAAAGAGGAATGAAAAAGGGGTTGCTACAAGAGGAAGAAGGGGGTTTGTGTCTGGGCTGTGCGTGGTGTGTATCGCCGCGAGAGCTCCAAACAACCAAAGAGGAGGAGGAGGCTAAAGAAGCACTGTATGTATATATATATATGTATATACAAGCACACATACGAGAGAGGAGAGAGCTGCACGGCACAGCAGCCGGTAGCTGTTTTAGGTGGATTCCGGGAACGGAGATCCGAATGGGCCTACATAACGTCGAGAAAGAGAGAGAGAGAGAGAGAGAAGAAGCAACACCAGAGCAAAGGAGAAAAGAGAGAAGAAAGAGAGGCGAACGAGCGCGTATAGAGAGAGAGAGAGAGAGAGAGGAGGCCTCCCCCTTCGCGTCCCAGGGGTTTTCTCGGAAGGCGCCGCCTTTATGCACCAGCGAGGCCATGCTGGTCGGGCACCACATCGGAGCGCTGCAACGTCTTACACACACATATACCTGCGCGCGCGCGTCCCAGCTCCTTGCCCAGCAAAAAAAAAAGTGGAGGTGCATGGTGGCCCACAACATGTGCGTGCGTGCAACAACATTTATGTATATACATATGCATGTGTTTGTGTGTGTGTCTACCTATATATGTGTTGTGTCTCGTATGCATGTGTGCGAGCGCAAAATAATGCGCGTTTTCGCTCGGCGGAATTTAAATGCCCGGGATTACACGCACGAGAGCTGCAGACTTACATGGTTTTTTTTTTTTTTCTCAACGCATGGGTATATATATACATACACACCTATTTATCTATGGGATCGTTTATGTATATACATGTATATAGAAGAACGAGGGTTGATGGTTGTTCCGTAGTTTTACCTGATGTGTATACGTATGTAAGTATGCGGTATAAATAATATGCCCATCGGCCGTATGTATACAGAGGGTGCACATCGGAGGGGGAAGAGAACGAAAAAATGTATAATACAAATATATATACACATGCAGCATCAGAGAGAAATGTCGGAGGAGGGATGTACCTATTTAAACTGCAGCAGGTCCTGTGTATAAGGGAATATACATCGGCTTTTAGGAAAAAAAAAGAATGATAATAATAATAATAAAATAATAAAAGGAGACGAGGAGTTTGTGTTTTCCTGTCTGTCTGTCTGTCTGTCTACGGAGGAGGAGGAGACACGAGGACCCGAGAAAAAGCTGGGGAGTTATAATAAAAGTGTTCGCCAAAGAAAAAGAGAGAGAGAGATAAGGTCGCAGTGCTAATGCGTTTTTTCTCTTCGTCCTCTCTCTTCTAAAAACGTCACTCCCCCCCGTCACCATCGCCGCTCTAAGACCCCGCACGTGTCGGGTCCCCGAATACCTCAACTGTGTATGTTTAGCATCGGGTGTATCTCTGATTAGATTAGAAAAATG